AGCAGCTGCCCACCTGTTTCTGACCTAAACTGGGTCAATCTGGTCTGCAACCTTAACAGGTCTCTGACAACTGGCATATATGACTGTAGCAGGACTGAGACTCCAGGGTGGCCACGATGTCAAGTCCTGGCCAAGCGCTTCCTTCCCGAGTATGGCTCCTTGGTGTACTCGCTGATGTTGCCTTTCCTGCCACACCTTGATGTAACTAAAAACAATTAGGACACTGACAGAAGTGACGGTTTGTCGTGTCATCAGACCCCTGAAGCACTCTACAGCTCTGCCCTGACAGAAAAGCACAGCTGCAGAGCACTTCAAAAGTGCCTGATCAAATGACAATCTGAGCCCTCATTACATGAGGTGGAGGACTCCGAACTGCCCACCCCACCCTCCAGCTGGGCAGCTATCTGTTGTTTCAAGTGCCTGGCTGGCACCTATCTCACTCCTGAGTTGTGGCCCCCTGGCCCTATCTGTGTCTTAGAGCACAAGCTGCCTTAGAGGCAATAATCATGGCCTCTCTCCTCCCCTGTAGCCATGACCATGCCTTGCAGGTGTTATTCTGACAATGTTCTGGACCTTCCTGTAAGGGCCTCTGCCTTCTTACTTTAGCCACAGCCCACCTGTTCCAGCCTGGCTTTCTTGGCCTCAGCCAGTTCATCAATTTCCAGGCCCCTGGCCCCCAATATTGCCCCTTGGGGTCCTGGACCCAGGCAGTGGTGCTCTTTTAGTTCTCAGCCCCCTGGGATCCCTGATCTGGACAAGGTGCTTGTCCACTCAGCATCCTGGGTCCCTGACCCACGCTGTTCTTTTGCCACCCATGAGCCCCTACAGGGCTCTATTCAGGGTGCTTCTCAGGCATCCCTGTGGCTGGCATGCCACCTCCATAGCTATAATCCTGTCCTTTAGTTTCCCCTTAAATGTAACATAAATACAAGTGGCTGTCTTCAACAAAAAAAATCTCCCCCATTTGGGGTTTATGGCATCCGGCAAACCGTACCTTTCTTTGGACTCTCACTTCCCAGGGGTCATGGGTGGCTAGGGTGCTTGCCAGGCTGTCTTCTGCAGCCCCTCTGTCCCAGGAGATCCACTCCCTGCAGCATGCAGGGCCAAACTGTCTACCTTGCTTCTTTTACTAGGCTTATGGTCTGGAGCACTGCCCCTTCCAGTCAGGTGACTCTCTAATCAGGCACAGGGGTGTCCCCTTGTGTCTGATTGTCAGCCTGCTCCTCCCTGTTGCAGCTGGATCCCACTGCTTGCATCCTTTTTTTTTCAGGCTGTCTGGGAATCTGCCCCACACAAAAAGCTTGTTAAAGGGCAGTTGGCTTTTGCTCAACTGCTTGCCTCTGCAGTGAGATAAGCCCTCTGCAATTTCTCCTTCAAGTAATGGGAGACACTGGCTCCCACTTAAAATGACATTGGTAGAGAAGATGGGGAATGGACCTCTGATGTTATAATCTGTGTAGTTTGGTCTATGTTGGTGACTGAGATGCATATCTTAAGAATCTGGAGCGGGGATTCCTATACTTAGGGCGTGTCTACATGTGTCAATTTAAGGCGCTTTAGCCCAATTTAAGGCACATTAAGATTGTGCGGATTTACACGTGTGCCCTAATGTGCCTTAAAAAAGTAGGTATCAAATTTAGGTTCAAATAGCTAAAGTGCATTCATGCACATGAAGTGGCTCATTAAGGCTCATTAACGCTGTGTATGGACTGCCTTTGACTAACTTTAGTCCCACATCAATCTGCATACATGGCGTTAATGCACTTGAATGCATGCGAGCATTAAGCTAATATACATTAAATTTAGGCATACCTAAATGCACGTGTAGACACACCCTTAAAGTACAATCCTAAAACTATAGCCACTCAAATCAACAGAGCCAGATTCAGACCCCACTCTGATCTGTCACCATAGAAAACCTGGGATGAGGGCAGCAGAACCCCTTTGCTTGTTACATATAGCCCCAGCTTGAACACTTTAGATGTATCATTAATGATCCCCCATCCCTCCTGAAAAATGACAACCATCTCAAGATAATTAGGGAGGACAAACCTGTCCTGGCTTACAAACAACCTCCCAATCTCAATTAGCTTCTCTCCAGCAACAGGTTACCTAACTCCCCTTTACCCCCAGGAAACAGACCTTGCTCCAGACGCAGATGTCAGCGTGATGTCAGATGTGATCCAGTGAACATGGATCACATCATTGCTGGACTAAATAACATAGATTATAACATCCAAGGTTCATTCATCTGTTTCTCTACCATCTGTGACATTGGTTCCAGAAAGACACAAGTCTGTAGCAGAACACTTTAACTTCCCTGTGGACATTCAATTGCTGACTGCAGAATAGCTGTTCTTAGACAACAAAACTTTAAAAATGCACTTGAATGGGAAAATGCAGAACAAGAAATCATCCCCAGGTTGGGTAGTTTTGAATAGGGTCTAAACTATGGAATCTTATCCCATTACCTGGATTAGCTTTTATAAACCCTATGTCCCTCTATGGGTTACCTGCTTTATTTTTTCTTTCCTGACCACCTTGCCTCTTCTAGCAATGCTACCTCCTTTTTTCTCTGTCTTCCTTACTCTTTGTGTTTGTACCACTTCCTATTTAGAAGCTGTTCTGCTTCCTGCAGTCCCTTCCTAACTTCTGATGAAGTAAGCTGCTGGTTACAAAAGCTTATGCATCTCTGATTTAGTTAATCTAAGGGGCAAATCTACCCTACTTTCTGCCTTAACCGTAAGACCATCCAAAATGTTTGTTGCATAAAAATAATATAAATGTTTGCTTTTGATTCAAAAGACATTGACTACTATTTTAAAAGGCCAGTAAATACACGTAATATGTCATTAAGACCATAGAAACATGATGAATGCTTAAGAGTGTTTTATACATGAGAGCCTCAAGGGACTCTGCTTTTGTGGTGAAAGGAAGATCTGCAGAAAGAAGGATGGAACTTCTAAAAAAAAATCTCCTGATCTTCTGGCATCTCTGTTTATTCCTTTAATCTGTTCCTGTCCCTCCCCTCATAGTAGAAAGCAGAGGGGTACACAATATTTTGTGTCTGATGAAGTCAGTGGTAGGGAAAGAACATTGCAGATTTCTGCAGGTGAACGACCAGCCAGGAAACAGCCAATGGGCGGGGTACAGAAGCTGAAGAATATTGCTTCTTTGGAGGAAGGTTGTTTCTGTTGATGCTTTACAGAGTGGTCCAGGAAAGGGAGAGAGGAGGTAAGGAGGAAGGAAGGGCTGCTGAAGGGGTGGGAGTTGAATTTATTAGGCTCATGTTCCTCAGTTTATTCTCTTCCTTAGAGGCTGAGGTTATGCCTTTTACAGACTTCTTTTGTACTTAGAAAAACAGAAAAATCTTTGGAAGGGCTTCTAAGCCTCAGAGAAACATTGTACTGAACATCTGGACTCTTAAGTAATGAGAATAATCTCAATAGTGAATTTTAATATGAGTACTGTACTTTTAAACATTTTTTTATAAATGAACAAGGGCTGTTTTTTCTACAGGATAATTAAACCCTTTACAAATAAAGTGGCTGATGAGAAGCCATTGAAACGTTGTGTTTTCTTTAACTTCCTTTGTAGTCTAAATTATGTTTAGTTGTAATTTTATTTAAGAAATCAAAAAGCAAACACATATATGACAGTGTGTAGGTGTGCATCTATATGTGTGTGAATAATATATGTGTCTGTATATATGTATGTATTTCAAGATTTTCAGCATAAGTGGGAGGAGAATTCTAAAAGAAAAAGCAAAGAATACTATAATGGCATACCAAAAAATCAGAGGGGAAAAGATAGATTATGATGTCTTATTCATCCTGCTGATACTGTTTTGTTTTGTTTTACCTTATACATGTTTTTGTTTAGTCTAGAAGTCATGCGGATTTCTATGTCTTTTTGTGGGAGACTATTCTATAGTCGAGCAGAGCTTTTTGTCAGTAATTAGTTTCCCTTGATGCTCTGTTTAAGTTGTCCTATTCTCAGTTTACAGTCTTTTCTAGTTATATCTCTAATTCACACTAAATATTTCCTGTTATTGATTGCCCTTTACACCTTTTTTATCTTTGTGGACAGTGATGTCCATAAATTCAGTTATTGTTTACTCAAACTAAGCCACTCTATACTTACCATGTATTTTTTTTTCCTTTTTAAATCCATCCTTCTAGTCCATTAATTGTTAACTGCTCTTCTGTGAATACCTACCAGATTTTCAAAGTGTTTCACTTACTGACAAGCCCACAAACTCATATTCCAGATGCAGTCCCTTCAAGTTGTAAAGGAAGGTATTATTATTTTCCTGAGCTATGACTTCTGCCCACTTCCTACAACAACCCTAATTTAGCATTACACTTATGACAAGTGTTTAAGCATTCATAGAATTATTAAGATAGAGAACAATCTTCTTTATGAATTGATCAATATCAACATACTTTATCTCTTCTTCAGACAATATTTTACTTGGTCTCAAAAAGTAACATGAATTTTTGAGTTACTGAAAATGGTAAAGGTCGTGGCTTGCACTCTAAATTATTATATAATAATTTACTGAGTTGTGGAAGCTTTAATCAAGAATTCACTTGCAATTTGTGCACAACCAGCTGGGAAGTAATTTCAGACTAAATAAAATGGTGTTGTCTTTTTTAATTTTGTAATGACTTATGGGTGTTTTTACATTGTCTAACTAAATAATATCCCATTAATATTATAAAAGTAAATATTATAAAAGTAAAAAGCTTGAATCAATATCAAGCTTTTTTAGGGTGAAATAATCATTAAGCTTTTAGTAAATATTGAAAAAGCTTTCAACTTTAGTTAATATTAATTAGCTATTGTTTATTTTTTATTTCCATTAAGAATCAATGTGGAAGAATCAATGTGATACTTGTGCTTCCAAAGTTCTGTGTTCATAGTACAATACAATGCTTTCTGAATGTTTTGCTTTTTTAAGTTGTATAATTTTATATTTTTGCTTTTTTTATCATTAGGAGAGAATAATAGAACGTTTGAAGGAGCAGAGGGAACGAGATGACCGAGAAAGACTTGACGAAATTGAATCCTTTAAAAAGGAAAACAAAGACCTAAAGGAAAAAGTTAATGCTTTACAAGCAGAACTGACCGAAAAAGAGGTCAGTGTTTGTTGTAAAATTAAAAGCCTTTGTTCTGTTTTTTTCTGAAAGGCTTATTCTTAGGATGTGAGAGGATCTATCAGACACACTATCAAATCACTTAAGCCCTTGCTTATAATAATTTTTACTGAGCACTCCTCACTTTCAAATTCCTGAATACCTTGTACATAAAAGATCTCTTGCCCTTTTGGCTTTATTTTTGTATATTTATTTCTGTCTTTCCTTTCCAAGTGGTTTAATATTCAATTAACAAAGGTTTAATATTCAATTGCAGCTCAGCTCCTACTTTCAGTTTGTATCCAGACTAATGTATTTAGCCAGAGCAGGAGCTTCCAAGTGTAGTATCCAAAAGCATTTGACTCAGACTGATCACTGACACTTGGTTTTGTCTGGCAAAGCTCTTGTTCAAGCTGACCATGTTACTAAAGTTTTGGCTGTATCATTGCATGCCACTATTCTGTGTTTAGTTCATTAGATTCCATGACCCATATGTATAACGTAAATCCAGAGTATGTCATATAACAATATACTTCCCAACAACATAACTAGGGTGGGGCAACAGGTATAGCTGCCCTGAGTATCAACTTTGGTAGGGGGAGGGAAGGTGGCAGAAAAATATCAGCTGCAGTTGCAACTGCACGATGATACTGAGGACATGGCAGCAGCCGGAAGTCACTGCTGCCCCTTCACATGCAGCTTCCCTGGGTACCTGAATGCTTTGCTATGCCTCTGATATTTCTTTTTTGGTTTTTCTCTTGTGTACTTTGGAAAAGGGGCTGAGACTAATAGGCAAATAATGTTGTTAAGGGGAATGTTCTCCCTATCCAAAATCGCTCTTAGAATTTGTTAATTTCTAAAGCTATCCAGTAATGGGCTTTTTGAAAGCCTCCTGCCATTTTTTTCAGGGGCTACCAAGAACAATGGTTCCAGCAGCAGTTCTGTTTGAAATACTGTTTCTAGAACCAGACTGCCATTATCATGGCTACTGGCATGATGTCAAGAAACAAATACAAAGGAATCATGCTTTTAACTCCGTGGAGAATACAAGGTAGATTTCAGTGCCAGTAAAAATCACACAGGGGAAGTCAGGAGAGAAATAAGATTGATCTTAAAACTTTTAAGAGTATTATGAGCAATAAACATTGACAAAATAAATCAAAGTCAGTCTATTTAAATATATAATGTACTGACATATATACCATCTTTAAACTCCTCTCATGCAAAACTAAAATGTATTAAGAACTGTAACATAGATGGTAATGCTGAACAAATCGAGAATTAACTGTTTTTTAGGCTCTTGATGATTACATTTACAAAACCAGGTGAATCATCCATTTGTTTCCATAATGAAATTACAGCCTCTTTTAAGTAGAGGATCATTGCACATTAAAAATCATTTTTTCATGGACATACATTTTTGTAAGCATGCTGAAAATGATCTTAGTTTTTTATTATGCTATAAATGCACATCTCCATGCCTTCACACACATACAAGCCATTTTTGACTGACCGTGTAGCTGATATAATCATTTACTATGCCAGTGATCAGTGCAGTTTCTTGAATTAAGCTCTTTCTTTTTCTTGATAATTTTTCAGTCTAGTTTAATTGACCTCAAAGAACATGCATCTTCACTGGCATCAGCAGGGCTGAAAAGAGACTCCAAATTAAAGTCCTTAGAAATAGCCATAGAACAAAAGAAAGAAGAGTGTAGTAAGTTGGAAGCACAGCTGAAAAAGGTAAGTGTCATCAGAGACCATCTTATTTTAAAAGGATATAATTCTTCATTTCTTTAGTATGTAAATGTTAATGAAGAAAGAGATCCATTTTAAATTTGTCTGTCTTCTGCTGATATGAACATGAAACACTATTGACTTTTTCTCAAGAAGTTTGTATAAAAGTTGTCTGTGAGCCTGAAAAATTATCTGAAGTTTCCTGACTGAGGGGTTCCTGAAATCTGGTAAAAAATAGCTGAAATGAGAAAAAGGTTAAAGAAACCAGCTATTCACTAGATGTGCAAATCTAAATTACTCTTAAAGATAAATAAAAATGTATCATATTAAAAATCAGAGTAATCTCATAGGTGATTAATTCCTACTCTTTTTAATGAAAATGTCTTGTTTCTATATTGAGTTTCTGCTTAGTATTTTTCTTTGAGTGTAAATTTGTGATAGTTATAGTAATATTTTACAAATCACAGTTGGTTGTTTCTTATATATATATCTCCAGCAAAAAGCAGAAGCAAACTTTTTAAGGAAAACATTTTAGAAGCACAATATTTTATAAAATATATTTTTATGCTACATTATAATATTTTTACCAAACTGATGAGCAAGTTTTCTTGATGTATCTTCAATCATACATTGTTTCTTTGACTTTTTCTTGTGTCATTTAGTACTGTCTGCACTCATTGTTCAAACACCAAACTCATGAGACATTTACCTGGGTTTAAGCATCATGTTTGCTTTCTGCAATTCATAAATGTAGATCAAACTTAAAACCACAGGTTTGGACATAGGTTTGTAGAGATTTTTAAAAGCAAGTAATTAGTTGTGGCATTGATCATTGACATGTAAAGGGCCAGATTCTGATACCCTAACTCTGATATCATTCTGATACCCTATCCTACAACTGAAGCAGCTACATTGATTTCAGTCGTACCTACCTCTGGAGAAAAGTATTACCATGCACAAGGAAGGATGTCAGAATTTGATCCTTTATTTTTACCAAACATTTTATGTTTTAGAAAGTATGTATAGAATGGATTATATACTATACTGCATATTTTAGGAAAACATATGGGTGTAAGTTTTGCTTTAGAGCAGTTAGCAACTTTGTATATATAGTAGGGCTGTGCAGAGCTTTGGGTGCTGATTCAATTGGGAGGAGATTTGGCCCCATTCGGTGGCCGAATCTCTGAATCCAAATTGAATCGGGAGACCAATAAAAAGGTCCGAATCGATTCGAAGCCTCCAAATCAATTTGGAAAAAGATTCGGAGGAGATTCAGAGATTTGGGGATTCGGGCAGTTCCTGCTCGCCACCGCACCCACTCTCCTAGCCCCCCACCCCATGGCTGCTCCGTCTAGCCCCAGTGTCCTGGTGCTTAAAAAAAAAACAAAAAAAAACTCCACACTCACCAGATCCTGTCAGGCAGGGAGGTGATCTCCACTGCCCCGTGCTGTGTGAGGGGCTCTGCGACAAGCCCCCATTCCCTGCCTGCTCTCCCAGCCCTGTAAATGTCTGCCCTGCCTGGTCCAAGCTCCTGGCTCTTCAAAAAAAAAAAAAGAAAGAAAAAGCCCTGCACTCGTGGGGTTTCAGAGGGCTTGTGGCAGAGCCTGTTCATGCAGCGCAGGGCACTGGGGTGCAGCTGGGTTTTCCCCCTGCCTGGCAGAAGCTGGTGAGAGTGGGGCTTTTTTTTTCTTTTTTTTAAAGAGCCTGGATGCTGGGGCTGGGTGGGGCAGCCATGGGGGAGAGCTGAGAGAGCTGGCAGGGGATGGGAGCTCATGGCAGAGCCCCCCACTCAGTGCAGGGCAGTTGGGGGCAGCGGGGACCACTCCCTGTGCCTGGCAGGAGCTGGTGAGCGTGGGGCTTTTTTTTTAAAAACAGTTGGGATGCTGGGGCTGGGTGGTGCTGGGAGAGTGGGTGGGGGATAAGGCCTGTTTGATTCAGAGGTTCGGGTGATTCGGTGGCAGCTGAATCTTCGAATCAGATTCGGCTGAATCGATTCAGGACAGTGATTCGAATCACTGAATTGAATTACTGCCCCCCCAAATTGGTCCAGTCCAATTCCTCAGCAAATACTAGCCATTTCGCACAGGTCTAATATATAGTTATTGGGATGAGGAAAGTTAATATTTTTGGACAAGCTTGTGTGGAAAGTAATTTTGACAAAATCTTAAATAATTTTAAATACTTGGTAGCTTATCAATGTTGTTTGCCCCAGAAATATACAAATTATTTCAATGTGTTAGTTTTAGGCTATCTTTATTTCATTTAAAGAAACAAATAGTATTTATTGAAGTTTTGATAAATTGTCATTCAAATTTTGTAATGAACATGCTAGAATCATGTAATGCAATTATAATCTAATCTATAATTTAAATATTTGTGTTCCTATGACTAACATGATTTAATTATATTGCTTCTAGCAATATTGCATTGACATTTTAAAACTATTTTTAATATAGGTTTTTTCAGTTGTCTCTCTCTTTTTTTTCTGAGTTAGTACTCTTTAGAAAGCTGAAGTACCCATCACTTAAAAACTGGAAATTCACATGAAATAGGTGAAATTCTAAACCCACATTTTATGAACGTACATAGAAACACATCATTTAGTCATGGAAAAATAAGCAGTTATAAAAGTCTGTGAGTGTCTGGGATTTCTTTTAAATAAAAAGGGAGTATGTTTCTTGCACATAAAATACAAAGGGTTACTAAATGAAAGTTGAAAACGTAATAGTTTTATTATACCATAAATATAACATGAATTCCCAATGTAAATTGACCAAAAAAGTTATAGAAGACCAGGTATGTTCAGAAACTATAGTTAAAAAATGTGGATGTGTTTAGTTGAACAGAAACACTTACTGTTAATGACAATGGACTCCAAACAGTAATTTTTAATTTACTCTTTCATTAATGAAATACCTTAGTCTCAGCCAAACCTGGAAACATTCTATGAAAAAAATGTTAGCCTACTTTCAGTTATGTATTTTTTCCCTTAAAAAAAGGGACTGAAATAGAAATCAGTGTCATTAAAATATTCACATGGGAGCGTCTACATTTCTTTGTTGTTATGCATAACATATAAATCTGCATGTCCCATAACAGAGCTTACTGTATCAGTGAACACTCAGTGCAGCCAAAGTGAGAGATGTGGCACTTCTATTGGACATAATTTGAATAGTATCTTCAAATAAGTATCTGTTCCTTTTTCTTTGAACTTGTTACAAATTGAACAACACAATTCTGAAAAATCAGTGAAGACACTTTCAGTTTACAGTATTTTGACATGAATATAGCTTGATTTTAGCATTATGATTCTTATTTTGTCTCATTTATTAACAAATATGAATTTGATCTTGAACACATGCTGCTAGAGTGAGTGGATTCTGTGAGTAGCTATAGTAGTGAGCATTATAGCCAGAAACATTTGCAAGATATGCATCTTAACCTAATCTGGGATGAGGAACACTTTGCCCTGAAATTTGGCCCCTCCTCTTTTTCACTCATCCCCTGCTCCCCCCACTTTCTCCATCCTTTATTTTCTCTTTTGTTTTCTTTTTCCCTTAGGGAAAAGTAGGGAACAGTTTCTTCCCATGTTATAACTATGTCTTACTATTTCTCAATATTATTTAACTACAGTGGGCATGTCAAGGAGAGAAAATATGCAGACAGTGAAAAGGATGCCTAGAGCATATCCAAAAATAAAATAAAATTGCTTAGATAGACTGTTAAAATATTTGATTACAGTAAATTGAACTGTTAATTGGAATAATATAGACATTTAAAAAGCAATAAGTGGAACATTCTGAAAGAATAATTAATCTTGTGTTTATACTGTATTTTATTGTATATCATGTTTTAAAAATGAGGATTTTTATGAAACCTTTTGAAATGAGAATCAGAATTTTCAGTAGATGAGAAACCAGATTAGTTGGGTACTTGTAACACTTTCGTGCCAAATCTATATAGGTCTTTCTTTTCCTTATTTTCCTTTGCTAATTATGATGGAACAGCAGGAATTACCTCATAGGTAGTTATTTATTTTGTATTTTCCTTTCTTGAGTCATCTTACCACTTCAGAATTTCTTCCTTTTCTTGTTTATCATGTATGTTAAATTCCCTTGCTTACTGACAGTTGCTGTTGCTAAACTACTGTTTGCGAAGCTGTTCTGCTCAAAACTCATATTGAATAGAAAATTCAGACTTGTGTTAATACAAAAGAAAAATCCATAAATTTAATGATAAAGTTTAATTAATCTTTTATTATTACCATCTTTGAAGCTCTGTTGATAAATTGCAGCGTTGGCCAAAAGCACTTCTAGTGATTCATTGCTTGAGACCAGCACTTAATGTATCATCAAAAGTGGACAGCTTTCTTTATTTCATGGGTTATTTAATTTGAGAAAGGGAAAGTAACACAAACCTTAAATTTCTTACTCCAGCTATTCTTTTTTAGGAGCCAAAGTCAACATTTATGTTTCCCCAGTGCCTCTCACTTTCACCAAGGAATGTTTAGAAACTTAAATTTCTACTTTTTTATGATGAGTTCTTCTGTGCAAATGCACTGAATTTGTTGAGCTAATGCTGTTTTCCTGGATCTTTCCTTCTTTTCCTGTCTGTGCTTCACTCCTTCCCAACTTTGCAATGTAGCAAGCTGAACAGTTGTTCAATCAGATGTACAATCCAGTAAGTCCTTTCTGAAAGTGCCCGCTGTAACATATGAAAGCATGAGGATCCATTAACCCAACACTGTGTTGTGTTTTTCCTCTGTGGAGCTTTGCAGAATGTTTCTGATGCCCACCTATTTTAGTTATGTCAAAATAAATGAGCTCTGTGGACTTCAAGGCTATTTCATTTGAACATGAAATACATTATTTAGAAACTGGATTACTAAAACTGCTAATTTCAAATGTCATTGCCTTCAGGTCCTCAACTTCTCCATTGTAAAAAGCATGCACAATTCAGTTGATTTTTGTTTCAGTTTAGTTCTGTTTTTTAACGCTATGCTCATG